ATGGCAACGGTTTGTGTGTGCGTGTGTGTGTGTGTGTTTGTGTGTGTGTGTGTGTGTGTGTGTGTTTGTGTGTGTGTGTGTGTGTGTGTGCGTACGTGCGTGTGTGCGCGCGTGTGTGCGTGCGTGCGTGCGTGTAATTGCATGCAGTTACTAGCGGCAGCCGGCTTCACGAGGCCCGCGCGATCTTACGTCGTCTGTCTCCTCTCTCATCTTCCCTCAGCGCGCTCACATCGCCGCGGCTCCTCTCAGCATCACTCCGCTGAGGGCCGACGCCGTCAGCTTCACGAAACCCTTCCTGGACACGTCTCTCGCCTTCCTCGTCGGCTCGGCGCCGACGCGGCAGGTGCTGCAGGGCGACGACAAAGGCGCCCTCCCGTGGCTGCTCAGACCGTTCACCTTTTACGTGTGGGTCGCCTGCTTGATCGTCTGGCTGCTCGTCTGGATTGTCATGGTGATCATCAACCGGTAATTCGCATGCACCATGCCGTACACCGTACGAAAATATTCATCTCTTTTCATTAATTAATTCCACATTGAGCTCTAACGTTGACTCGAGACTTTAAGCCTAGTGCTTATCTTCACCCTAACCCTTACCTTAGCCCTAACCATAATCATAATATTAACCATAATTTCAATCAAATCCCTAGCCGTAACCCTACCTTATCCCAAATCTTAACCTTAACCATAACTCCATGTTGAATAATGAATTGGCGCTCATAGGCCATCAAGCTGTACAATGTGTTCCGTTGGTGACGTTGCATACGTACTAGTGACTATTCCGATGTTTGTATTCAGGTTTAGTCCGTACGAATGGAAGGAAAAGAGCAGTCGTGGAAGGAGCAGTTATGGTGAAGCGGAAACTTACAGTCCGTCTAATTCTGCATTCTCTATCAGCAGTATTCTCTTTTGGCAAGGTAACTATTGTAACGGTAACGATATAGAAGCTACTGCGGCAAGGTTTACTAGTATACTCCCACCGTTGTCACCACTACCGACACCGGCACGTTAGCACCATCGCTACCACCACCATCACCACCACCCACACCAACATGGCCACCGCCACCACAACTACCTCAACTGCTACACCAACTGACAACGACGACGACGACGACAACAACAACAACAACAACAACAACAACAACAACAGCATCAGCAGCAGCAGCAACAACAACAACGACGACGACGACAACAACAACAACAACAACAACAACAACAACAGCAACAACAACAACAACAACAACAATTCTGATCACATTCGCCTAAACAAACATATCCTATTCTCAATACAAACAAAACTCTCGTCCGATGACAAATGCAACACTATTCTCACGCGCATGCGCAGGCTACGACCGCGCGCCGGCCTCCGTCGCCGGCCGCATCCTGCTCGTCGGCTGGTTCCTGTTCGTCGGCTGCGTAGCCATCGTCTACACGGCCGGCATCACCGTCAACCTGCTGGCGCGAAACACGATCGTCAGCTCTAACGGATACTTCAGCGTCGCAGAGATGCTCAACAGCGGAGTCAGCTTCGGCACCAAGAGGGGGTAAGGAGAGAGCGGGAGAGAGTGTGTGAGCGCGAGAAGTGTGTGTGTGTGGGGGGGGGGTAGTGAGCGAAAGATGCCTCCTTGGTGCTCTAGATTGTGTGTAATCGATATATAGATGTATTTTTGGACCTAATAACACCAACGCCCTAGCTGAAAAGGCAGCTGTTTTTTCCCATCAACGCTGCCCGTAGCTCTAGTACTATATCCCGCGTTCATTAACTGCCGCAGGCCTGCCGCTGCCTGCGGCAGTTAATGAACGCGGGCTATAGTACTAGAGCTACGCTGCCCGCTACTAGCGATGCACCAAGAATATGCAAGAAGTATAGTAATGGGGGCGTGATTCTCTTATGGCGGTAACAAATAATTTCCGATTGGCGGCCACATTAAGTTCAATAAATTCCCTTAAATCGGCCGAAGTTATTTTGAGAACTCAAAACGCCACCTTCCGAATTGCTATTGAGATGCACAGCGTACAACTCCAATGTTGTATATCCTGCGACGATTTTTTTAAATCTTCTAAATTCTAAAGCTTAATTGGGTACGCGCATAACTGGTAACAGGCGTGCTTTTGCGCCGAAATGTGGGCTTCGCGTATGATTCTCTCTTCTGACACGCATTTGCATACACAAGGGATGCCGCTGTAATGCAACAGGAATGTTAATTTTGCGGTAAAAAGCCTCACCAACGGGTCCAACGGAACTCCGTTCGAAGAATAATAAATAAAACATCTGTGAAAACACGCAAAACTCTCTGTATTTTGACCCACCCCATTGACGGTAAGATCACTGCGGGCGCGGGACCCCCCACAGCTCACACCACGTATCTTATCCATATCATGACTCATGTTAGATTGAACTTTTAAGATCACCAACGTCAGTAATACTACGCCTCTGGCTCGCGCGTATCTGATTAGAACACTAAGTTTAAATAAATGTATTCGAATTACAATTTGAATGTGGGTGAGGTGGTGTGTGAGGAACGTGATTTAAACGCGTACACACCCTGTGGCGGCATGCAGAAAACTGCGCGCACTACAACCGCGTATAATAGATAACAATATATAATAGATATGCAAATAGATCTGCTCCGTGACCTTGCAGTATTAGGCTCAACCTGTTCTGCAATATAAGTAAAGCTGTCATTCTTTGCGAGGTAAGATGCCGCCTTGTGTAAACAGTACGAAGATTACGAAGCTTTGTGCTGAGTCTTTATAGCGGGCATCTCTGTTACGGAAGATAGTTATTCTAGTGTTGGATTAGCCAAGGATATGTAAGAATGTGTTTCTGGTGTGTGTGTGTGTGTGTGTGTGTGTGTGTGTGTGTGTGTGTGTGTGTGTGTGTGGTGTGTGTGTCGGTGTGTGTGTATGTGTGGGGTGGCGGGGCGTACGTGCGTGCGTGCGTGCGTTGCGTGCGTGCGTGCGGTGCGTGCGTGCGTGCGTGTGTACGTGCATGCGTTCATGTGTGTGTGTATGTGTGTGTTGTGTGACTGTATGTGTTGTGGGTGTGTGTATGTTGTTGGTGTGTGCGGTATGTGTGGGGTGGGGGTGGCGCTACGTGCGTGCGTGCGTGCGTGCGTGCGTGCGTGCGTGCGTGCGTGCGTGCG